ATCTAAATATAAAATGAAAGGAAATTCCAGGGTTAAATAATTCATTGTATAAGCGAGCCAATAGCAAATTAAGTATTAAATCTTAAAAAAATCTCAATTGGTTTAATTTTGGGTAATTTTTTATACTTGGAATGAATATAAGCATTTATGAGTTTTCGGTCAAAGTGATCAAAGGTTAACAATTCATGTTCTTGTAAATTTTTTCAAATAATTGTTCATATTTATGAAGTGAACCAAATTTAAAATACTACAGTCAAAATCTTTTCAGGAAATTATGTTCATGGCAACATCATGAGAAAATTATAATATTATACTGTTTATTTCAAATATTTCCCGAATTTCTTGAAATTGCATTACATATTTGTATTTTCGGAACTGATACAAATCTCTTGAAATTATAAAATAAAGCATTCACTGACAAACGAAATTAAAGGTTACTCAATTGTGACATAGTCCTTTCCTTTTTTAAGCATTACAAGAACGATAAAAAAATATTATTTTCCTGATTAATATCCTAATAATGTTTAAGAATATTTTTAAAGACTCATTAATGGGTACGGACAAAATACAATGTTATATATTTTTCTTTTTTTGCTCATTTTTTAGCAATGAAAATAAATTTTCAAAAGGATATATTAAAGGAAAATAAGACAAGGATGTAATTTAACTTTTAATATAAAAAAGTGGTAATTTTATGGTTAAAAATTTAATGCTTATTATTCGTATTTGATGCTATTAGTAGCACATTAAAAACTAGATAATAAAATTAAAATGTTAAAATTTTAAAAGTTTATCGAGATTTTTGAGATGTTTTTTTTTTGAGATTTTAAAGTATAGTATGAATACTTTGGGTATAGTTTACAATTTAACAAAAATTACAATGAGTATAAGCTCATTGAAGCGTATTATTTTAAAATTTTAATTAGTTAAAGTTTTATGAGATAAAATGCCCTACAACAAATTTAAATCTAATCTAAATATTAAAGTTTGCGATCCTATTAAAAGGTATACAACAATTTAGACGCATAACATTTCATTCAAATGTACAACATTTTCCTGCAATTACATTAAGTCTATAATATATAAAAGAACAGCTTGATTGAAAGGTGTATTCACTGGGCATATTCATTCTAGTTAATCCATTCAAATTACTTTTTTTATTCAATTGATAATATGTTGATAGATCTTGTCCAGTAAATGATTGAAATCTAAAAATAAAATAAAATAATTTCTGTTAATTACAAATTTAATTAAGCATATTTATTTACTCCTATATATTATATTATTTACACTATTCTTAATTTGCTATTGAAATTTAATATTGTAGAATAATAAATTAATTTGTTCTATAATTAGAGTATCCTAAGGTAAAATATAGAAATTTTTATAGTGTCAATCAATTATTTTATTATTTATAGAAAATAGTGTATTGAAAAGAATTAGAAATAATTGATTAAAAATAAAAACTTGATTGATTTTTCATTATCAATTAAAATAAATAATATTAATTTGTAAATTTCCCGCCCATTATAACCTGTTATAAATAAATAATTAAAATAAAATCGTCTTTTTTACAATTTTTGTGTTCTATTTAAGGGTATATAAGGAATAATTTATACATTTATGATACTTCCAACAATACCAAGCTATCTATTTATAGATCACACGATTAAGTAGCTGAATAGGGTCATTACACACATTTATTGCATTACATTCTCATTTGAAAATTAAATGTTAAATCCTCAAAGAGTATTAAAATTTAAGCGTTGATTCTCACTCCTGCATGTAGCAGTAGTTTTATATAATACCGAGCTAGATTTAAAAATTATTCAATTCTACTCCGGAAGTATTTTAGAGTGTTAAATATTCTTAACCAATAATACAAAATTCTGGAACGAATTGAACTTTTTTCCATTTAAATTCTTGAATTGGAAAACAGTTCAATTCGTTTCACAACTCCTTTTAGTGTTCGTACAATAATAAAATATTTTTTCCCATCTTTTATACAGCTGGCATAAAACAGTAGATTAGATCAATAATAATTTTCTTGATTTCTTCATTTCTTCTTTTTTAATCTATATTACGATATTGTGACATTGAAAAATACGGAAAAATATTTTTTTCTCTGGTAATCCGCCTTAATCTTATCACTATATAATTTCATTTGTGAATAAATTTCAAACGATTTATGATGAAAATATTGAATTATTGAGTGCATAATAATTAAATTGAGAATACTTTTATTCGATTATAATTAATCTATGGATTAATTATTTTCAATTATTTTGTAATCTTTTTATAATTATTTCTTAGAAAAAGTTAATAAAAATTTGTCATTATTTACAAAATGATATAAAAAATAATTTTTTGGAAAATTAATCGGAAATTCTCAAAAAAAATTTTTTCAAATATTAAAATAGTTTAACAAATTTGAGAGAAACGAGAACCCTTGTATGTTCTCTATTCACAGGCTGTTACTGTTAAAAAATATTAAAGAGATACCTACATGAAACACGTGCTTGTGACCCCTACTTAAAAAAAAATATGTACTTATTATATGTTACTGAGTGTTTACATTTTATGTAATAAAATACTATAAAGTATAGTCAGTAAAATATAGACGACTACATTAAAATTTAACGAAATAAAATTTTAGCCAAGGATTTTAATAGAATGCCGCATAATAATATCTTCCATTATTAGTTGTTCAAAATTATTTTAGAAAGATAATTGTAAAAATTTTTATTATTAATTAATTTTATATATAAACGCCAATAAAAAGACATTTGGGTATCCCTGTATAAATTATAAAAAATAATATTAGGATTTTATTATAAGCTCATAAAAAATACATTGAAATTAGCACACAAAATCCCAATTTTATATTCTTCAATTCTTTCTGTGTCTACTCTTACGTACTGTTTTACAAACTTCTTTAAGTTAAATTAAAAATCCCATTTATAATCTAATTATGGGTTCAGATATTTGAATTAACAATATTCGTATATTGTTGGAAAATTGAACAGGAAAAAAAATTTAAGAATAATATGGTCTATACAATTCAATTTTTGTTAGTTTTTGTCTTCTTCAACTAAAGCAATTTAATTTTATTAGGATTTAATTATCAGGTCGCTTATGTTTATCAAAACAAAAAAAAAACAAAATTCTATATACGAGTATGTAGCTATATACACAAAAGATAACACAAAAAATCATAATTTTTGGTTACAAAATCTGGAAAATTAATTCGCTTTGAAAAATCATTTAGAAATTTTTATTGATTTTCCTTATCAGTGTTTTTACAATTCTCTTGGATAAATAACTAAAATTTATAATTTCAGTCTTCTATTATGGTGTAGATATGCTTTTTTAAAAAAAAATTTTCTTTAATAAAATATTATAGAAAAGTAGAAAATAATTAAATATTGTGTACTTCCCTATATAGAGGACGATACAACGGACAGTCTTCTGTATAACTTTGAGACTCGGTTTAGATTAATATTTTAGAATAAACCCAGTGTATAAGAAGAAAGACAAACCTAAATCAAAAATTTTACATCTCAGAATTGAATTCAAATGATTTGGTAAGAGAATCACAAAAAATTTCATTGGACGATCTAAAATTTACGATTGAGTTCTGGGTTCTCCTTATATCTGAAAAAAAAAAAAAATTTTTGCGTTATTATGCATATCTAATCCAACTCACATTAAATTGAAAGAAACAGTCTACTAATATATTGATAAAAGTTTAGTCATTTTGGTAACATTTCATAATTTTGAAGTAATTTGTAAAGCAAATCAAAGTTTTTGAACATACCACAAAACATCAATTTTTATATTAAAAGCTTCTTCATTCTATATTTAGGTTCATGTCATTCAAATAAAAGACGAATACAAAAGAGAAAACTTAATTTTCTAGGAATCTTCATCGTTTAAATAAATATAAGGATTCTTTTATGCTTTTAAAATTGTAAGTATTCTCACAATTTCTTTAATTCAAGTTCACACATTGTAATACAAATCATATTTCCATTAAAATACACAGTAGTATACACAGTAATGACCTTCTAATTTTAATGGGACCGAAGTAAAATAACAATAAGAAGCTATAAAATATTATTTTTTTTATTTTTCATTTTCTTCCTCTTCCAATACTCTGCCATAAATTGGAATTTTTTTCTTTGTTACCATTTTCTTCTTCAAAAAGATGAAAATAAAAATTATAATGTAATAAAAAAGTTATACGCAGCATAAAACGAACATGAAATCATTAAACCATTAATACGTACATTTATCACAAAAAAAAAATTTACAACTCTAAGGTAGTGTTTAGATATCATTGAACATAACGAAAATTGGATGGTGTTTGAAAAAAATTTTCGAAAATTTTCACATTAAACTCTCGAATCATACAAAAAGTAAATGTTCTATAGCATAATATAGGCTATAATGAAGCCTATAGCCTATATCCTATAGCTCATACAAAATGTTCGATAGCATGAGCCCTATGAAATTAAAGTATATGAGTTGAAACAAACAACTGATTGTTGAAGTTTTTCCTGTTCCTAACATTTATCCCATTTATTTTAGGTAAATAAAATTTTTGTGTGCGTTCAATGTTCATAGACCAAAGAGTTCCACAATGCAACAGTTTAAAATCAAATTAAACTGTTTTTCTATTTTTTACATTTTTGAGCATAGCTTCGATGCTTTGTAAGATAGCATCAAAGTTATAAGTCATTCAAAATCTACTGGTGTTGAAAAGCATTGACTCCATTATAATTGGTTTTGTGCATTCATAAGGTTCGATGGTATGTATATACAACAATGTATTTAAAATACATAGAAATATTTTTCCTACAAACAAGCACATATACTTAGAAGAATGAAATTCAAACTTGTAGATTCCGTACATCGTATATGTTATAAAATAATAGCTAACTAAGAAATAATAAGAAATAATAACATTATAATTTCCTTTAATTTTCTTTTTTTTTTAGAATATACAGCGTTCACATATATAACATATGCATATCCACACAATACATAGAATTCCCAGTACTCAGAATTTTACTGTTCAAAGAAAATTGTGAATCAAAGAATAATAGTTAAACACTATAAAATAGAGGAAAGAATAATAACAATAATAAGAATAAAATAACTACAAAAGCATAAAATGGATATAATTATAACTGAAGAGGAAATTTCTTTGCCACAAGTGGCTTTATATGCTTCCGTTTCATTTTTAATTGTTTCAATTCTCGGAGCAATTTTATACATAACTTGTTCAAAGAAATATCGTCTCAACTGGTTTGAGAAAAGTTTATTAGAAGCAGCTAAAGATTCTGAGGATATTAGAGAAAGGTAATAAAAATTAAAGTTATTTAATTAAGATTTAATTATTAGCCATAAATTTTGATTAATAAAACGAAAATTAAAAATATTAACAACGTTATTTTGTTATTTGAATATTAAATTGCAGTCGAGAAGCTTTGGTTGGAAGTGGAATTCCATATAATGTTGACAATGTTAGTGAATGTTCACGTTCAATAGGTAAAGGTAATTTAACACCTACATCAATCAATGATGATCCAACATTTTGGGTACCACCTAAAACAACTACTGGAAATGCTAATCAAAATTCATCAGCAGGTAAACCTAAAAGAAACAATATTTGTCTGTGTTACAGAATTTAAATCTTGAATGGACGCTCAATAATCGAGTCTTAATTGTGGCTAATTTACCTAAAATTTTCATTTCAATATTTCTAATTCAAATTAAAAACATTTTTATTATTAACAAACAATTACAGAAGAATCTACTCCGGCAACACCATCATCACCAACAGAAAGTACAAGATCAATGACATTATCAATGTGCTCTGGTACAATACCAATTGCTCGTTCTGATAAACAGATGGTTTTAGCAATGAATCCAGTTAAACCTAAAGTTACATCAATGCATGCTAAATTGGATCCAACAAAAATTGATACATCATTATACGTAATTAATTTTTATTTTTTTAAAAAATTTCCTTTTACTATATAAAAGTATTATAGCAAGGTAATGAGCCTACCTCACCACCGCCAACAAATGAAAACTTAAGAGGAAATATACATTTATGGATTTGGTACGATCCAGTTGCTGGAAATTTAACAATAAGATTAATTGAAGCACAAGAATTACAGCCAAGAGATTTTAGTGGTACAGCAGATCCTTACGCAAAAATAAGATTGTTGCCAGATAAAAAGAATGTATGGCAAACTAGGATACATAAGAAGACTTTGAATCCAAGTAAGTAAATAAAATAAAATCTTTTTTATTAAATTATTATAAAAAAATTTCTTTTATTTTAGTATTTGACGAAGATTTCGTTTTTGAAGAACACCCAACACAAATTGGTAAACGAACTCTTGAAATTCTTCTTTATGATTTTGATGCATATTCAAGACATTTATGTATTGGCGGAACACAAATTCTTTTAGAGAAATTAGATTTATCTGAAAGAGTTGACATCTGGAAACAATTAGGGGTAGTTGCAGAACAAGTAATATAAATAATTATTAGAAAAGAAAATATTGAACATTTTTTTAATTAAATTTTATTATTCAGGATGCGAAAATTGATTTAGGTGATTTAATGGTATCTTTATCATATCTACAATCAGCTGAACGTTTAACAGTAGTTGTTATTAAAGCAAGAAATTTAAGAGTTATAGATGATTCAAGAAATTCATCAGATCCATATGTTAAAGTTTCTTTAATAAATAATGGTAAAAAAATTAAAAAACGTAAAACTGGTGTAATACGAAATAATGTAGCACCAGTTTTTAATGAAGCATTAACATTTGATGTATCAAAAGATGTCTTAAAAAGTAGTTTTTTGGAATTTATTGTACTTCATGATAGTTTATTGGGTAACTAAATAATTATTGATTTAATAAATATAATTAACAAAAATTACTTACATATTTTCCACATTTTTAGGATCAAATGAAATTTTAGGTAAAACTGTTTTAGGTCATTCATCAGAAATTCGATTAGAAGAGAGAACATTCTTTGATGAAATGTTCCGTTCAAAGACTGCTATAGCACAATGGCTACCTTTGTATGAGCATAATGTTAAAATTATTTCAACACATCATCATAGTCATCATCATCATCATCATCAAAAATAATTTAAATATTAAGTAAATACACGGGAATTATTTTTTTTTTTTTTTTGGATTACATACCTAAAAATTATAAAAAGATTTTAATTATATTTTATAATTAATCAAGATCATTTTTAATTTTAAATATGTATACAATTTATAATATAATGCATATTAATTAAAGAAATTTAAATATAAAATAATAAAAATATGCAGTGAATGCAAGACTCGATTGCACTGTTGAAGTACAGTAATAGAATAAATCTAGACGAGATCAACAATTTTAAAAAGAAATTGTAACGTGTGGATTCATTCTAACACTATTCAAGCAGTATTATTGGGGTTCAAAGACCCCAATAAATAATATTATTTAAATTTATGAATTATGTAAAATAATATTATATTTGATGATTTTAATATTATGTGTACAAGCTTTTTACAATGATAAATTCTGTAATCAAAATATATTTAAAAGAAAACTTTTTTAAATTAAATTTACTTAAAACTTTTTATATTAATAGTATTAAAATATTAATTAACATTGTATATTATATTATGCATATTTTACAAATGCAATACTAAAATTATTTTTAAAAATTTATTTTGAAATCATATATAAAATTTATTTTTATAAGAACTGAAGTTTAAAGTTTCTAAAATACAAGGTTTCTTTTGAGATGTCAAAATATAATGCTAACATTCATTTTTATATATTTTTAAAACTCCGTGCGTGTGTCTATATACTTATAAATATTTCATAAAGCTTAAACGGTATAAAATTTAAAAGAAACTCACTAATGATAAAATTCTATATTTAATATACAACCATCATACTACACAACAATAACTAAAATATTAAACTATATGTATTAGGCTCTTATTGATATTTCAACAAGAAATCCCTTTCGTGTAAATATACAAATTAATTTTTAAATTTTAAACTAAAATTTTCATTATATACTCACAACATTTTATAAATAATGAAATTCAAAAATTCACCTATGTACTTACTACAATTATAATTTTATATCAAAAAATAATTATGTGAAAATCAATTTTCTTAACATAAGATATTGCCGATGCTGTATTTAAATCTAACATATGTTTAACAATTTTTCTAATTACTTATAAAAATTTTACCACCGTTTCAATCAGTAATCTACATAGATTACTTATGAAACTTACAATAAATTTGTATCTTAATTCAAAGACAAATTCTAACTCTTATTTAAATAAAAATTACAAAAATAAATTATAAAAATTTGAACAACTTTAAAATTAATTTACAAAATATTTATTTATTCATTGTTAACGAAAATAGATTGCCTAAAATTTTAAAATGTTCTTCCAGAATAAAATAATGCCGATTATATAAAAAAATATTTGTACAAGAAAGTATTAAATTTTGTATAAGAAAAATTAAAAGACACATGAGAATAAAATTCATCTCCCTCAAATCAACATTAAAACCTAATAAAATTACGAAGAAAAATTCATAACATATCTCTAGTTAATTCTAACAGTATAAATCCATTTGAATAATAAACAAAATAATTATAAATTAGTTTCTTGCACCTTCAAGTTTTTTCATTAAATCTATTTTAAACTGAAATCAACAAATATTTATAAACCCCTAAATAATGAAAATATGAAAAATATCCGCTTAAGCTGTTTGCCTATAAGTTTAAACTAAAATAAATATTTAAATTACTTTATATGAGTTTATAAAATTTAATATTAAATAAAAAATAAAAAATACAAAATTAATTGAAATTTATAAATGTCCATTGTACCTAAAAGTATTTAGAAAAAATTATGTATTAAAAAATATATATATATATGTATGGTAAATACATGTATATATACATATTACATATTATATATTTTATATAATTATAAAAAAATATTTATAGACGCTGTTTCATTTTATATAAAACTTGTAAAATTATTTATATTAAAATATAAAATTTATATATAAGAAAATAATGTTATAATTAATGTTTACCTAATGCTTTAAAATATAATTAACAAAATTAAGTATGTATGTAAAATATTCTTAAAAATACATTATTATATAAATAAAGTATATAAATAAAGTTATACGTATAAGGATATAATATATGCAATGTAAAATGTATACATATTATGTATACAAAATTATAAAATCTATATAATGTTAATGTTTCGTGAAAAATATTAGAATTCTGTATAAAATCCAATTGAATATGTATTAATATATAAATTAAAAAGTTGAAATAATTAAAAAAAAATTAGTGGTAAAAATTATTGTACCTGGTCTTAAAAATTATTGTGTTCCTTTCGTATATTTAGTTTCTTTTCCTTTTTCTCTTTTGAAGTTAGTTTATCTGGCTGGCTAAATAGTACGATTTCTGAATATGCCTACAAAATAAAATTTATATTTAATATGTATGTACATAAATATTCAGTTTACTTAAATTGAAAAAAAAAAGAAATATCATTTTAAAATAAAAACTTAATTAATACTCATTATGAAATTCCAATTAATTTCCATAACTAATACATTTACTCTCTTTTTATGCATTTTTCTTAACGATATATGTAAGCTCTATTTCACCAACCACTTTGAGATTTCTCTTTAATCAATTAATCAAAAAAATTGCAAAAAATTTTATTGTATCAAGAACCAAAACATCAATAAAGTATACTAATAAAAAGTGCCACAAGAGAATAGTTTCCAGTTCATGCTGTTCACCAAGGTTCTTCCAGAACGGGCGTAGACCCTATCGTAATTGGACAAAAATCAATTTGTAATCATTGTCGTTGCAGAATAATTGTTCGATATTGATTACTTACCTAACAATTGCCAGCTAACGTTTGGCAAGCTAAAGTTTGTGCTGTTTCAATCGACCCTTACAAAACAAAATGTATAATTAAGTTATTTATCAGCAAAATGTTACTCTAGTTACTCTGTATTAAATGTTACTCTGTAGTCTTGTAGTTGGTGCCATATGGTAGAAATTAAAGATGCTAATCCACGTACTCCAGTTCATCTACGTATGTACATATATGTATGTACGTATGCATATACATACTCTTAAATAATTAAAAAATTTTATTTAAGCAAACTCATGTCACATGAATCGCAAACTTTTTAGAAACTGGAAGTTCAATCATTAATATAAAAGTACATGTATGTATGAAAAATTTATTTTTTACAATTGAATTATGTAATTACCAAAAATTTTTAGTAGCAACAAAAAAGTAGTTACAAACATTTTCATTTACAAAATGCTCACCATTCCCGCCTTCATCAAATGAATAATTCAAAGTTAAAATTCGAATGAAAAATCTTAAAATTTGGAATTATTTAGCTGATGTTTGAACTTATTTAAAAATACTTGCTTTTATTAATATACAAGGCACTATAATTATATGCTTTATTAATTAATGAACATACATTTTCGTTTTCGTCCAAAAAAAAAAGTTTTAAAAAATTGAAAAAGCAATTCTTATATTTCAAATCCTTATATTTAAGTTATTAAAAATTTGTTACCAATTCATTCACAATAACAACATAACGCATTCATTTAGATTTTCTTTGTTTATTGTCTATTGTGAATGGTACTTTTTTATTAAAAGATTTTTTTTTATTAATTTTTGACATTCAAACAATAACAAATCTTTATTTTAGTAATAATACGACAGTTCCGCAACAATTTGATTGATAAATTTTACATTTTGTAATAAAAAAGGAAATAATGGAAAATAAAAACGATGGTACAAATACTGGTAATTATCAATGTATTTTAGCAAACTTTATAAAATAGAGAATTATAATTTAGTTGAAACAGCTTCGTATGTTACTCCAGAAAAGAAGGTTAAATCAATGGCCGATATGAATAAATGGCAAAAATCTGAAGCTTATTATGATCTTATTGGTTTTATCAATGGTATAAGTGTTGTTATACAAGGAAAAAGAAATTCATACGATTGTTACGTTTCTGAAACAATGAATAAGCTTTTAGAAATTTTCGATAAATTAAACAAACTTGTTGATGATACACCACCGATTGATCAACCTCAAAGGTTTGGGAATCAAGCGTTTCGCATTTGGTTTGAAAAACTCAGTTCTGTAATAAATTTCTCTTTATGACGAAATACAAAACCGATAATCAAATTTTTCGATTTAATAGATGACGCCAAATCTTCTAGTGGATGCGATTCCCGAAAAATATCATTCAGCTATTACGGAATTTTCTGTGTATTTTGTAGATTCCTTTGGAAATCAAACACGAATTGATTATGGAACTGGTCACGAATTAAATTTTATTATGCTTTTATGCAGTTTTTTTAAAGTTGGAGTCTTACAAGAAAAGGACAATATAGCTGTAGCTTTAAAACTTTTTAATTCTTATCTGACATTTGTAAGACGATTGCAAAAAACATATAGAATGGAACCTGCTGGAAGTCAAGGTGTATGGAGTTTAGATGATTATCAATTTGTACCATTCATTTGGGGAAGCGCTCAATTATCAATTAATAGTCCATTTGACCCATCTAAATTTCTGGATGCAGATGTGATTAATAACTACAAAAATGAATACATATATATTGGATGCATAGATTATATTTGTCAGGTTAAACGCTTTTAAAAATACAAAATTATATATTTTTTTTACTTTTGAATTTCAGGTTAAAACTGGTCATTTTGCTGAACATTCTAATCAGTTATGGAGTATTAGTGCTGTACCATCTTGGTCAAAAATTAGTTCTGGACTCGTAAAAATGTATCAAAAAGAGGTAAAAAAAATATCTTATACATAAAAGCGTGTGTTTCATAAATAATTTTTCAAATTTTTTTTTCAGATCCTTGCTAAATTTCCGGTAATACAACATGTATTTTTTGGTACTATTATGTCATTTAACACTGTCAAACCTGGCACAACCTTATATATAGCCAGATTAGGTGTTCCCGAATCAAATAGCTCAAAATTACCAACTATGTTATCAAGTGCAGTTTCAGAATCGAGTACGAAATAATTTTAATGATTTTAATTTCAGTTGAACATTTTTTAATTAGTTTTTGTATTATTTAATTTATTTGGATGTAACTAAAATTGCAAAAAAAATAAAAACATCATAACTTATTCTTTGCTCTCCTTTTTTGAAAGTGGAGGGATAATATTGAATAATCTAGCAAATCCTAATGCGAATGAACCTAAAATAGATTTTTTGGATTTTTGTGTAAAATATTCTTTCATTATTCTTATTTTAAATTTTACCACACGACAGCATAATAATAGTGTTCCGTTCTAATCCTTTTCGTCTTTTGGCATGATGCCATAAATAAGCTCCTATTACTGACATACAAAAACCACCAACCATTCTACATTCTAAGCAATCTTCTATTTCTCCTTTTTCAAATTTTTTCCCCATTACTTTTATTAAACTATTGTTAATATTATTTTAAATATTCATATGTGGGCTTGTTATACCTGGAAACTAGAAGGAAATAAAATTACAAACTTTTTTATGTTAACATAAAAAATTATGTTTTTTTAAAAAACTGTTTTATTAATTATGCAAAACTCTTTGTAAATCTTAAAAGCTAGCAAACAATTTGTGAACAAATTTTGTTTAAACTATTTCTAAGTAGTTCACTCAAAACATTCATATCAAAACCAGTGTCACAAGATTGGGTTAATTTTGCTTCTAATGGTAGATTTCCCAAAAATGGAACTTCCATTTCTTTACACATAACTTCTGCACCTCCTGAACTCTCGTCAAATATTTTCGAAGTACCGTTGCCTAAAAATACAATTTCATTTAAGCATTTAAAATTGTTTGAAATACAAGCACATATTACAGTGACCGCAAATAAAAGGTGACATGTTCTCTATAACCCCAATAATAGGAATGTTTAATTTTTTACAAAAGCTTATTTGCTTTCTAACATCCAGTAAAGCTACTTCTTGAGGTGTTGTTACAATAATGGCTTTCAAAGATCCTTTCGGTTCATTTAAATAAGAAACCGATGATAAACTAAAAAACATTTTATGGTTATTTTAACTGAATACATTGAGGTAAACATAAATGATTGAAGGGAACTAATCAAAAAGGCAAATTAACCTCAACATTTGCAACTATTTCAAATTATAAACTTACTGTTCATCTGAAGTTCCTGGTGGAGTATCTAATATCAGATAATCTAAATTCCCCCAATCTACCTCTGTTAAGAACTGTCTTATCATTCCATTCTTTTTCGGTCCTCTCCAAATAATGGCATCATCAGGACTTGACAATAAAAAACCAATAGACATTAAGCATAAATTATCATCGATATTTACAGGGGACCAACCAGAACCCGAATTATGTACTTGTTCATTTTCTACCCCAAGCATTCGTGGTTGAGATGGACCACATATATCAATGTCCAAAACACCAAAATTTAAATCATCATGCTTTTGAGCAAGAAATTTAGAAAGCAATGTTGTGACAGTACTCTTCCCAACACCTCCTTTTCCTGATAAAATCAGGTATTTATTTTTTATATTTTTAATCTTTTCTATAACTCTTTCTCTTTCTTCGTTTGCTGCAGATTGATTAGACGAACATAATGATTGATTAGGGCAACCAGCACAAGCGCTACTTTTACCAGCATTTTGAGTTCCAACGCCGGGACAACCCTCAGGTTCTGGTTGCATTTCAGTAGACATTTCAAAGAAACTTTGCACAATTAATTAGTTTATTAAATTTGTTAAAGTTTGGAACAATATTCTAAATTCATTTACACTTACTTATAACAAAAACTTTTCTGTTTTAATTGTTTTTTTTTTTTTTAAACACACTCGATCAATATAAAGCGATGACAATCATAACAAAAATTATAACAAATGTACAATAATTTCCAGTTTCCTCCAGTAATAAGAATGGATTTCAAAACATTGCGTTAAATTTTAACAGCTGACCCTGCAAAATGTCAAATGTAGGTATTCATATTCCCTCTTAATAAAAATGGCGTTATTCAACAGTCAATTGGGTTCACTAATTTGTGAATTATTTATTCCTATAGTGTTTGCTATTATTGTGATTGTAATATTCAGATTAAGGGCCTAATGATCTTTCTTCCTTTTTACTCACAAAGTGAGAAGAAAGTGAATAACTTTCGTATTCTTGTATGTATAGTAAATTTTTTCACTTTGTTTTTGAAACAAAGTCGATAAATTTTGATGACGTTCATTCGATAATTTGAGGAAAAACGCAAAAATCCAATCATATTGAAAAAATGAGCAATCATATTGGAAAAGTAAAATATCCATTAGAAAACAGACAATTCCGATTTAAAAATGAATTGAAACGAAGAATGAAAGCGAGATACACGATCAGGCTTTAAAATTTTATTTCGTTTACTAAAAATTACTAATTTTCTTTTAATTTAACACAGGAGCCTTTCTTACAATTCTCCCGAAATCCAGGAACAATCCTTTTTTGAATCATGCATGTCGGACCCTTCATTACGGTTCTTTATTTCTTTCTGAATACTTCAGACACACTGGAACAAACTAATCAAAAAGCATGTAGATATCATAAATGAATAAAAAAAAAAATTGTTTGATTTCTTAAAAAATCAATCATAAACTTTGTAAGATTAATTGTGTTGTGACTGTTCAAACATGATTTTGTGTTTCATAAGATTCTCATTAACTTGCTGCTAAATGTTGCTTCTATTATCTATAAAAGTTCTATGGAATTATTACTAATATTTTGTAATAAAAAAAATTGCATTTCTTAATTTTTAATTAAACAAGTGGATCAAAAGAATCCTTACTTTGTTTAAATGTGATTTAGTAAAGATTCAATTATATTAACATAAACGGAATATATGTAGCTAATGACATTAAAATCCGTTAACTGCATTCGTTTAAAAAACATAAACAGCAGCAAAAATGAGCCAAGTTGTGAAATAAAATGCAGTTGAGCTTTGTGGCCTTGACTTAATTGTAGATGATTTGTTTATTTTGCAAATTGTACAAATTGTCATATTAATCCTAGTCGTCAAGTATTTATTTTTTATTTATCCTTTAAACATGTCCACACAGAAGAGAACCGTAATACATTGGTTTAGAAAGGTAAGTGAGTATGCATGTACCTATGTGGGCACTATTTTATACATGTTTAAAGTATTTTTATATTATTTTACATGTTTAAAGTATTTTTATATTATATTTTGTAGGGTCTTAGAGTTCATGATAATCCAGCATTAATCAAAGCGTGTGACACTGTACGTTCAAACCCAACTGTTTATTGTTTACGTCCGATATTCATATTAGATCCTGATTTATTAAAATGGTTAAAAGTTGGAGCCAACCGGTGGCGTTTTCTTCAAGAATCTCTACAGCAATTACATGAGAACCTTACAAAAATAAATTCAAGACTTTACGTCGTACGCGGCAATCCAACTACGGTTTTTCCAAAAATTTTTGAGAATTGGAATGTTGTTCAACTAACATTTGAAACTGATATTGAACCATATTCCGTTAAAAGAGATAATGATGTGGAAGTGAAAGCATTTGAACATGGAGTAATGGTTTATCAATTTGCATCGCATACAATTTATAACCCTCAATTAGTTTTACAAAAAAATGGAGACAAAGCTCCGGTAACTTATCAAAAGTTCATGTCAATTGTAGAAAAAATTAAAGTTTCAGCTGCCCTAGATGTACCAGAAAAATTACCAAAAGCTACCATTCCTTCCAATGATTCAGAGGAAAACCAAAATAATAAATGCTATGATGTTCCAGCTTTAAATGAACTAATTTCAGACAAATCTTTGCTGGGACCTAGAAAATTTCCAGGTGGTGAAACGGAAGGTCTAAATAGGCTTAAAAGGTATTTAAAAGATACTGAATATATATGCACATTCGAAAAGCCCAATACCTCACCAAATTCTCTTGAACCTAGTACTACAGTTCTCAGTCCTTATTTGAAATTTGGATGCCTTAGTTCTCGATTATTTTTTCATAAATTGAATGAAGTTTTAAAAAAAAATCCTAAACACTCAAAACCTCCGACATCGCTATTGGGCCAATTAATGTGGAGAGAATTTTATTATACGGCTGCAGCTTCCGATCCTAATTTTGATAAAATGATTGGTAATAAGTTTTCATACCAAATCCCATGGCAAGAAAATAAAACGTATTTAGAAGCATGGTCACATGGGAAAACAGGTTACCCTTTTATAGACGCTATTATGAGACAGTTAAGACAAGAAGGTTGGATACATCATTTAGCACGACACGCTGTAGCCTGTTTTTTAACAAGGGGGGATTTATGGATTTCCTGGGAAGAAGGTCAAAAAGTATTCGAGGAACTATTATTAGACGCAGATTGGGCTTTAAATGCCGGAAACTGGATGTGGTTGTCAGCATCAGCGTTTTTCTATAAATATTTTAGGGTTTATAGCCCTGTAGCTTTCGGAAAAAAAACAGACCCTGAAGGAAAATATATAAAAAAGTATTGTCCAGAATTAAAAAATTATCCTGCTGGTATTATATATGAGCCTTGGAAAGCATCGTTAAATAGTCAAAAAGAATATGGTTGTGTTTTAGGGAAAGATTACCCGAACAGGATAGTGATACATGAAACCATACATAAAGAAAACTTGAGTAAAATGGCCGAGGCTTATAAACTTAATAAACAATTAAAGGATAATGTAAATGATACATCCAAAAAGAGAAAAATTGAAAACCCCAAGTCTTCATCAAAAAAGATGAAAAAGTGAAATGCGAAAAATGTTAATTTGTAAATTTTTTGTATCTAAATTATTCAATTATTTTACCTATTAAAAAAATTTCTAAAATTTTATTTGTTTTTTTTCACCAACATTTTTTCTAAGCTTCTATATAAAACTACATATTCTTGTAGTAGTTTCCATAAATATTGTTTAATATTCCATAACTATATATTGTTTTAATTTCCATAAAATTATAGGAGCTACAGTTTATTGCCAATCTAAAGTTATAAACAGCGATTGAGTAAAGATTATATAGAAAAAATAAGAATGTTATGTAGATATTGTTTTTCTTAAAACTTTACAATTAAAAAAATTGTTTAATATTTTAGATAATTTTGGTTTAATAAAATCTTTCCTAAATGTTAACAATTTTATTCTTTGCTAGATGATTTTTTTGGATCCCATGCCTCAATTTTCGGAGGAGTAGTTGTGTACGGCATATACTGAGCTACAGATACAAATACATTTATATAACGGTAATGTTTATAAATAAGTGTCTAGTTTACCTTTAGTTCCCGATAAATTTTCGCTATGGTCAATCATCCATTTGTATTTAGGGCGAGATCCGTCTAAGGTTGGTGGAATATCGGTCTAAAAATTATTCATATATAATAGTGATTTTCTTAAATTAATGTTCTCAAACCTTGTAATGCATCCAACCAAACCATTCAGCTGGAATCTGTGATCCATCGTAATCCATATTAAAGTGATCTGCATATTCTACCCATCTATTACGACCATAGAAATAATATGGATTTTCATAATATCTATTACCATATTTATCGGTTCCAACAAGGGTTCCAGGTTTAAGCTCATCAAATCTAGAAATTCAAGCAATTTTTTTCTACATCTTTTTATTTAGATGAAATTATATAACCTGTAAAGTTTCATATATGCTGCGCGAATACCACCAGCTTGACGAATAATATCATAAATTTTAGCTAACCTATCAAGTCCTAAAAATCTCGCCATAGCTTCGCCTGTTTTTTTAAGTTTTAGGACGTTTAAAATTAACTAAATAAAATTTTTAGTTAAATTTTTTTTTTTTCGGTCAGAGAAAAACAATAATCAATATGTATTTGACAACTTAAGTTGTCAATGTCAATTTGATATATATTTGACATATGATTGGAAAGATTGCATGAAAGTTGAATTATTGGAAAATGTCTTTTTGGAGAATTTATACCAGAACTGCCAAATGTTGTTTTTCTTTTTATATCAAGTTTATTAAAGAGGTATAAACCGTATTGCCGTCATAGAAAAAAAAGTCACTAGATTGTATTTGAAAATTCTTCATATGTATGTGTTCATATAAATTTTAGAACCAAAAATCTTTTAGAATTATCAAAAATATAGATACAAAGCTATTTGATAATTAAAAATAAAAATTTTTGGTTTCATAATGTAAATAATAATGAAAACCAAAATCATTTAAAAAAAATATCACTAAATCTATGAAATAATTTTATAATAATACAAAAATGAAATAGGTATGGCAAAAAAAAAACAAAACAATTTATTAAATTTATAAAATAAGATCTGTACTATAAGAATAGTTGTCTTAATATGAAGCTGTTAAAAATCTGCTATTGCATTATTAATTTACCAAAAAAGTCAAAAATCTATCGACTTTTTTCTATCTTTATTATTATATTATCGCTAATAGAAATGACTCTAGAATCGTCATACTTTTTTTAATAAGGCTAAAATAGTTAAAATTTTAAAAATTTCTTCAGACAAAGTGGCTTAAACAGATTCACTAATGCAAAAATCGTCGTGTGAACGCAGGTTAGCCTAATGATCGATTCTATTTGAGTTTAAAAATATAACGCTTTAAAAAAAAAATTTTTATGGAGTCGATTTCCAAGTTAAGTTAACTTTACATCCGATTAATTTGAGACTTGAAAGTTTCATTGGTATAAGCTCGAAATCCAAATGAAGTCAACTTCAAGTACGTATAAGCGCAGTAATTTATTAGATTAGAATACGGTAAGAAAATTTTATTTTAATATTTTTGTTAATTGTGAAAGTAAAGCCATAAAATATTTTTTACAGTTAAGGAAACTCCCAAGATGTGCATACAGATGTACATATATACATACATACCTATTTATAACAGTTTATGTTTACATAATAATTTTGATATTTTTGAAATAGCAGCGTTGTTTTTATGAAAAATTATTCTCGGGATAAAATTTTGTGAATGTTAAAATTTTCATTCCCTACTTATTGAAATACATATGAATTAATGTAAAATAAAATATGCATTTCCGGAAAATATGATGGATTTTAAATTTTCGAAATAGGTAAGTCCAAGAAATTTGTTTTTAATAGAATCTGTTTGGAGGTACTTATGTATGTATATACATATGTAGGTACATTACGTTTCAACAAATTTAGTGCGAAAAGAAAAAATTCTTGCTACTTCATACCCAGCGATCTTTGTTATCATTAAAATTGTATTTTCGAGACATACATACATACATACATATAAAATTTTTTATAATATAATCTCCAACTTATTACTTTATTTTTGGTTTTTTCTAGGTACATATATATGTACATACATTTTGAATATAGAAATTAAGAAACAAATTCAAACCTCTTCGAATAATTTGAATAAGTAGCTATGCCTTTTTTTAATTTTTTTATGTAATATTCTGCATTAACCTCTAAAGATTTCCTTTTAAAAACTAAATATTATATTTGTTAGTATGTCTAACTAGCACAAGACATAAGAAATAGAATATAAGTTTAAAGAAATTTTGCTACTATATAAAATAATTATTGTACATAAATGTGTTATATATATACAAAATAGTGTTATACTTATAGATATTTACATTTACATGATGTATATTTATGTATATATAGGTTATGGAGGTAGGTTAATATATACATACCATGCCAATTTTGAACATTACATAACCTATTCCAAGTTAGCTTATTCACAGATGTGTCGAAAAGCAAAAAAAAAAAAAATTCTATGAAACTGGTTATGCAATTCATAATAGTAAACGAAAATAATTTCCTTAAATGTAATAATAATAATAATAACAATAATAAAAAATAAGGAAACGAAAAGAAATGGAAAACCTTGAAAATATAAAAATCAAAAAAAAAGAATTTTTTTTCTTTCTTCTTCTATTTGTTGCTGCCTTTTATACATGCAAGATGTTTAATTTAAAAATGTACTAAGATTGCATTCACATAACTATATATGGCATAATATATACAAGTATATATACTATACTCAAATAGTTGGCTCAAATTCAAATAAGGAAGTAACTTTTGTGGTATTACAACATTACCAGTTTTCACTCAATATTAAAATCATTCAAATGTAATTTTTCAATTTGTTTCCTCTATATATTTATAACTGTTTTATATAAGCAAATGTTTTAATAAGATCGCATATTCTTTTTTGATCCTGAATTCCTTTTCTTTCTTTTTTTCCCTGAAATATTATTAAATTTTTATTTATACAGATAAGGATATATGGTTTTTCTTTTGGAGCGTATATGTACATATACGCTCCAAAATATATATATATGAATATCTTGTATGTGCACTATAAGTGCAGAATTTTAAAAAAGGGAATAAGGTACCTTAAGGCATTTTTTTTTCTTTTGTAAACTTGAATTTGTATGATTAGGTAACCTATAACTAAACATTTTGCATTTTCTTTAATATCTTTTGATATCTTCTTTTATCCTTTATAAATAATAATTGTGTAATAAGAATTTTCATATTTACTTAAGTAGCTAATACTTGTATAACAATGGTAAGAATAGTGAAACTATTTTTAATGTATAATATAAGTATGTAGGTATATTGTATGTGCGTATAACAATATTAAAGTGCAAATATAAGTATTTATGTTTATTTAAGAAATAAGTTTGAATCTCAATTCTATAAATGAATAAGTTTGAATAAATTTGAATTTTCCTCATTTATTTTTTTTACTTTTATACATTTTTGTTTTACATTATCAAACTATGTAACAATTAATATATTAAACTTTTTCAAAGGAAAATTTTTTTTTTTGCTATTTTCGATATCTTAATCTTTATTAAAATTTAAATCAAATTTGAATATTAAATAATGGCATAATATACAGTAATCCCTCGCTTAAAATCGTATTTGGAACCGAAAATTTGTGATTTTAGTCGGAATGATTCAAAGTGAGGTTCATACTTAAATTTTATGTATAAAAAAATTAACTCTTCAATTTTGTGTTAGTAGCTCTTCAGTTTTGTTGTTGTGTTATTTATAAAAAAACAATACTTTTAATATCGAGATTAAAATCGAATTTTTCTCTATCACGGTGACTTTTTGCGAGGGATTACTGTATAAGTAAGTAAAAATTTAATTGTGATTTTATATTACTTATTTTTAATCAATCAGTATATTGACAAAGAATTCACGAAAATTGATTAAATATAGCTTTCCTGTAATCGAAGGGTTTCGGATTCAAACCCCGGTCAGGTCACTATTAAAATTATATTCAATATTATAACTCAATATACTATACTTTTATATATATAGTATAAAAGTAATTTTTATATATATTCATAATATTCAGCATTAAAAACTAAGAAAAATTAACAATAAATATTAATTACCTTAAATAATTAATATAAAAATAAACTTTATGACTCAATGAAACTAGGGCATGACTATCTATGATATCATGCATTAGCCCTATACTCCTCTTAGGAGTGAAGAAGGAAAAAAGGAAGGTACGCTAATATTTCCACATGAAGTAGGGTAAGCGTGGCATTCTAGGCAGATTATTTAAAAGAACCAAGCGATGTTCGACGACGATCTCGCGGTTAAAATGGAACGTTTTTATTAATTAGGGGCGATTAACCTGCAGCATGGGCCATGTCAACCCATCAACCAACTATGGCAATTACATATAGTCTGACAATACAAATACATTTTAGATAACATGTTTTCTCTCATATTATTTACTCAATAGTAGATCTTTTAAAGTCTTTTATACATAGCGCAGATTATAAATGGCTTGAGTAACCTAAGTAGTTAAAATATAAATCCATACGAATACATACATAATTGTACATATACTATATGCAAGTTATTTAAATAAACCGATTTAAATCGTATTGAAGTGAATTGAACCCACTTAAATCAACAACCGAATTACTGTGGTCAATTTTCATTGTAAATTGAACTGGAATTTATCATCATTTCCGTTTAATTTTCCATTTTCCATTTTATTTTTTTTATTTATTTTTAGTTTTTTCAATTTTTTATTCGTATATTTATTTCATTGTTTTTAAATTGATTTAATTTAGTATATACTGTTTTTTTTTTTTTTTTATTTGAAATCACTTTGTTTTTGTTTTCATAAAAAAAAACCAGAGAGAAAAATTAAATAAAAAGGAACTGCGAACAATTTTTTTTTTTACTTTATTTCTTGCCAGTTATTTTATTTACCCAGTAACAATAAATTGGCTCAACAATAACAGCAACAACAAGAAAAAAGGGAAAACCAGACAACAAAACTAAAAACAAAAAAGAATCCGAACAAAAATGTTGATCAGAAAAGCATGATTTTGACAATGTGGAGCGATGAGAAGGGGGAGAGTTAATGGGGGGTTAAAAAAAAATATTTTGACATAAAAATAAAGTCCTTTATAATAGATTTTTTTCAATTAAACACAGCTTAGCCTTATTGATTGATAGCATATCGTTTTCTAAAAGAGCTTAACCGCGTTATACAATTGTTGTAAGCGCGTATACGTTATATAAATATGAACATATATTATTTGTACGTATGTGTAAATAAAATATCCCTTTAGCTATATCGTATATTAAAATCCGTTGCACATACGTAATGTACATTTCTACAATATACATCCACACATACATATATGTATATTATTTATATTGTTTTTTTATATTTTATTTTGTTTTTATCATTTTATTGATATGTGTATAAAACGATTCACTTTTTCATGAATTAATTCAACAGGACTTTATCTATTTAAACGGATGTATAAAATGCATATATACATATGTGTGTGTAGATATGTTTAAATCTTTTTTCATATTAAATGTTGA